CTCACGTGCGAGGTCTCGCCAAGTCCAACGACGGCAACACCACGACCCCCGCAAAGGCCGACACGTATGTTGAAGCATGGTGTGCACTGGCCAGGCACCACGAACCGAAGACTCGCGTCGACAGACTGGCACCCTATCCGAATACTTCAGCATGAAGTAGAATGCGAATCAAGAAAGCTTACCGCAATTCCTGGAACGATACGAGGTCGTTCTTCGCAAAATGAAAGCGAATGGTGACGCCATCCACGAATCGATGGTAGTCGACCGACTCCTAGACATTCTTCCATGGCAAATGCGCGCAGTGACCCTCCAAGTCCACGCCATGACGACCGCACAAGGCCAGAACCTAGCCACCGTTAGAGTTCTACAGGAAGCGGAGTATAAAGCCGCCGTACGCTCAGGCGCGCTTACCAAACCGAGGAGCGGAAGCAACGATGACCACGCCCTCAACAACGAGACCCCCAAGCCTGGAAAATGCAACAGGTGAAATCGCAAGGGACACTGGGAGGCAGCGTCTCGCTCCAAAAAGGGGGGCAACCGAAGTGGACCAAAAACATTAAAGACAAAAAATATGAAACAGAACAAGAAGGGTTAGGGCAACTTTACCTTCGACGAGGAAGTCTGAACGTTTACGGCAATTGGCGATGAAGAAGACGATGACACCGTCGGAAGCGCCTTCGCCTTCCACGCTGGCGATCCCCTCGACCGAGTTCTCGTAGATTCTGGGGCATCGAACCCATGACTGAGAAAGCCTCGCGTCTGACCAACTTGAGACCTTGTAATCGGACTGTCGTTGTCGCCAATGGCAGCAGAACACGCGCGGCCAAAATGGGGACCATGCGGGTGACCGCCAACACTGCCACAACCCTAGTCATGGAAGACGTGTTAGTAATAGATGCAATGTCGTCAACTCTCCTGTCGGTCACTGCCATGATGCGGCGCGACTCGAAGTTCGCCGTCACACTCGATGCTCACGGATGCAGTATTATGCATGGCACCAACACCGTCGCAACAGCGACAGTCGACCCAAATCGAATGGATTACGTCTTGCACCTCACCACGACAACTGAGCAGTGCAACTTCGCAAAGGACACCCCCAGACACTGAAGACCTGGGGCATCACCCACAGCTTCGCGATGCCGGAATGTGGCAGCTCATCGTCCTCCCACCCAGCCGCAAGGTCATCGGCTCCTGGTGGACGTATGTAAAGAAAACCAACTCTGCCGGAGATGTTGTGTATTTACAAGGCCCGCCTAGTGTACAAAGGTTATTCACAAGTGGAAGGCGTGGACTACACAGACACCTACTCAGCGATAGTCAAGATGGGGGCAATTCGAGCATGCGCTGCCTTCGTCGTCTCCAACAGGTACGTCCTGGTCCAGGTGGATGCCGACACAAGTTTCTTCGAAGCCAAGATGGACGAGGGCGTACTACTGTACGTTGATCAACCGCCTGGTCATGACGACGGAACAAGCAGGGTCATGTGCTAGTCAAGGCCCCGTACGGCCTCAAGCAGGTATCACTCGCCTGGTTCGAACACTGCCGCAAGATCCTCCTGTCAATTTCGTTCCACCCCAACGCTTACGACCCATGCCTCTACCAAAGGATGACGGTAGATGGAGTTGAGATGGTCACTTACGTGGACGATTTCCTCGTAACGTCCAAGACGTCCACCGCTGCGGAAAAGATCCTCGACCAGCTCGAGATCAAAGTGAAACTCAAGCGCCAGGGCATAACATCCTACTTCCTGGGGATCAAGACCGACTATCAAGATGAAGTTCTCACCATGAGCCAAGCTGCATACGCGCGAAAGGTCCTGAATCGCTTCGGGATGGCCAATTACCACAGCTACGCCATCCCCGAGGTCGACGACCGCGAAGATCTATGGCACGACGAACAGCAACCGCCGACGGGCAAGTTGACCTACCGCTCCATGGTGGGGTCACTCATGTACTTGATGGTCTGCATCCGCCCTGACATAGCGCACGCTGTTTAGCGTCTGTCCCATCACTTGCACGACCCTCGCGAGCCGCACATGATCGGGGACAAACGCGTCATGCGCAATGTCAAGGCCACCTTGGAACACGGCTTGATCTTTCGCGCCGGCGATTGCAAACTCGTCGGATATAGCGACGCGTCCTGGGCCAACCGCGACGGGCACCGGTCGCCCACAGGCTACATCTGCTTCGTGGGCGACGCAGCTGTGTCATGTAAGTCAGTAAGTCAACGTGTTGTTCGCCAGCTTGCCCGAGACAATTCCATCGACGTCCGTCACGTTGGTACTGCCAAACAACTGGCGGATATCCTGACCAAGGTGTCGACCAAGGAAGCCATCGCGAAAGTCAAAACTGCAGCAATGGTAGTTGAAAATCCAACAAGAAAACATCCTTTCAGCCATGCTCGGATTGAGTGGACTCATTGAGTTGACGACACTGCTTGTAGGGCGATCCAGGGTATGGCATTTTATTCTTTCTGATTTCAGTGTTCACAATATTCTGCCCAAATCGTCGAATTTAACAAATGGATGAGTCGAGTTCGACAATCTGTCGAATGGAACTTCATGCTGCTGAGTACGATGAGATTGTAAGTCACATTCAAAACGTGGGGTAAAAACCTACTGCCTCCGGTGGCAAAAGTTGTTGCTACAATACGATTAACAAATTGCCAATTTTTACATTTTGAAAGATACAGTATGAAATCAGCAACTATGTACTTCACCACGACACCGCGAAAGCTCCGCGAATACCTTGGCAATCAAAATCAAA